CTGGATTCCGAAAATTACAAACTAAGCTCCATCATACTGTTGATGGAGTAGTGATCTGTCTTTTTTGGCATCTTATATGGTGATCAATTCCTTCTCTCTCCATAAGATTTTTTTAATTAAATTTATCATTGCCTCTTTCCTTTCGAGGCATTCATTCAGCTCTTTCTCAGCCTCTTTATTCTCACCACTTCTTTGGCTCTTCCTCAGCACCGTTCATGCCATTTTCAACTAGCGAAGTTTCAGAAGTCCACTGTCATCTTCACGACTGCCTGGCATCATATGTATGCTATCTAGTTAAACCATTCTAAAATCATGATGGCTAATTTTGGTAATGCGAAAAACATGTTGAGTAGATAATTTTTTGTTCTTTTGGGTTTAATATCTTTATACTAGCTCCATTGGGATAGCTGGAGCAATTTATGGATCCGTGTTATTGTGCCAAAAAATGGTAATATGTTGACCTTATTCAGAATGCCAGGCCCTACTTACCACTTCTAGACGAGTGAACTTATACTTGTAAATATTTTAGAACATCTTTTGTTTATTTTTTCTTTTTAATCAAGTGCACAACTATTGGATAACCGCCATGGTGCATTGTATTCATTGCTGTGATGAGCTTTATTTTAATCACATTGAGCCTTATCCTGACATTTTTTATTTTGGGGTTGAAGAACTATCATTGTGCACCACCTTTGATTTTCTAGATTAATAAACTTGTTATCTTGCACGGATCAGTTCATTTTAAATCAATCTTTAGGACTCATATGAATATATGGATGCTAAAGCAAATATGATGAGGAGAAACTTATGCAAGCTAAAGAAATCCATCGGGTATCTCATTAATTTCATGAATTCTAGTGATCTTCTTTATTCTGTGGAACTAAATTGGCTACATATGAATAATCTGGGGACTCTATTGAGCTTAAAAATATTCCATGACTATTCATATATGATCAATTTAGTCCCCCAAAGTATACTACTCCAATTTAGTCATTCAACCAAACAAATTTTGAAAATTGTACCTTTGGAACCAAATTGAGATAAGTTTTGTATGATCAAGGGATTAAATTGGGATCAATTTTATATCAATTTATACATCAATTTTATATCAATTTTTATGATCAAATGATCATTAAAATTGTTCAATCTATACATATCACTAGTTATAATGATGTTAAAGAGTGAATCTTGTGATCTTATGACCTTTGAATGCAAGATTGAACTTATTCACTCTCTTTAACATTATGATAATTAGTTGTGCATGATTTAACTAATTTAAAATCAAATGTATCAAAATTTTCACAACTATGACTTTAATTTTATGAGAAGATCATTGTGATTTCAAAATGTACATTTTTTCAAATAGCTTAGATTCAAATACATGGGTTGCTTGATGATATCTTGCATGTATTAGACTATTTAGATAGATGAAATACATCGTTATATTTTCACATATTTGATGAATGATTAAATTATCATAGAAATTGATGAAATTTGATCTAAAGATCATTGTATTGGAGACTATTAAATCTTAATGATTCTTCTGAATGCTTTGTCACATCGAAATATGAAGCTAAGACAGACCAGCAAAAAGAAAACATCTTTCAGGCATCCCTTGCATCTCTTAAATGTATATTGTGCTACTGAAAATATAGTCTTATTTACTTACTAGGATCGTTGCATTGAAAACAATTCAATCTTAATGATTCATCTGGTAAATGCAATTTGTTTTTATTTTTCATAAGGTTGAGAAACTAGCTGGTTACCTTACCTTTGTTCTTTTCAATCTTGAATATTATACTCTATCTCCGGCAATTAAATTTATAAGCTGGTCATACTTGTTTGTGATGAGCAGGCTGGATATGCAGAGAAGATTGCAGGCATATGGACACAAGTAGCAGGAGAAACAAATAGATATGCTGACGGAACTGATTAAGCTAGATGCAACTGTAACTTGGAGAGGTTTTTATCCGTTCTCTCCATACACGCCCATGTATAATAAGGTTTCGTTTGGGACGGCTTTCTTTCTGCTTCTTAAAGCAGCTTCTTATTACAAAAATTTTAATTTTTATACTAAGAAGTTGCTTTAAAAAGCAACAAAAAGTCGTCCAAAACGAAGCCTTAGGCTTCGTTTGGGATGGCTTTTTTATTTCTTCTTAAAGCAATTTTTTAGTATAAAAAAAGCTGTTTTAAAAAGCAGCAAGAAAGATGTCCCAAACAAAGCCTTTGTAGGACTTAAAACGAATCTGTATCAAGGTTTTGTTGATCTTCTTTCTTATCTTTTTGTTTTTCACTTGAAATGCTATTTGAGATGTTCATTTGAAATGCTTTGAATAATATTCTCACCCACTTACTTGTGAGATCTTGTGGTGTGCATTTTCTCACTTAGTTTAGGAACAATTTGGTTAATTTTGCGAGATTTTGTTTCAATTAATTTCTGTATATTAAAATGTTAAATGGTTTTCGTGATTGTCTAGCGAGCATTCGGTTGTATATTAATGGGATTGGGCAAATTTATTGCTTAGTTTTTGTTAATAGATTTTTTATTTATTAATTTTTTGGAAAGAGAACGATGGAATCAATTCTAACCTTTGATTCCGATGATTTTGGTTGGAATTGATTCAAGCTTCATTTGTGATGATTTTTTTACTGTTTTTTGAAGCAGTTTTTGTCACGATCAAGCCCGACTAGCCTGAAATAACGAGGTGGAACAGTCAGTCGCACGAAAAGCACATGTAAATCATAATCAATTTCATTTAAACTTTTATAACATAACATAAACATCATCCATTAATATGAAAGAGCCATTAAAAAAATCAAATTAAAGTATTTCAAATTTGTTTATCTCACACAACTAAAAACATTAACATCAATAAATTTTTTAGACACAAGTACAAACTACTGAACTCAAACTCAGCAGAAAATATAAAAACCTTTCTTTTTGAGGTCCTCTGCGATGGTAGGTATACTGTCGTCTTGTAGCCATCACTTCATAACAAAATCGCCTAAAAAATATTTTCAATAATAGATGAGCCAACGCTCAGTAGGTGAAAAATATTTATCTTAAATTCATAAAATATTTTTTTTCTTAAACATGTCATTAAACAGAAATAATAAAGGAACATAATAAACATTCAGATATGATTTCATAAAATATTTTCATAATCAGTGCTTAAAACATTTTCTTAAAATCCTTCTTTCTTTCTTTTTCATAAACTTTTTTTTTTTCTTAAATACTTTCATTAAATGTATAAGTTTTATAATCATAATATGATAAACACCAATCTTGAAAGTATCAGAGTTTTGTATTGATCAGGTACACAGTTTTTTGGCCATTTCCTTTACCATTTGACTCCGAACAACCTCATTACCATTTGACTTTTGTAAGCCATTTTACCATTTGGTTCCTTAGAACTCCATTATCATTTTGGCACTTCCGGATCAACATACACATGCACTTTATAATATTCATATTTATCAAGGGATTTGAAATTATTCAATGCATCATATGATCTTTAATGATTTTCGATTAAAGAAAATTTTGTCTCTTATGCCTCAAGTTTTGTTTATCAACTTTAGCATTTCTAAATATCAGCCATAAATGTAAACAATACTTGAAAAACTAAAGAAAAATAATGGATTCATAAACATAAACATTAGCATATAAATTTTTTAAAAATGTAGTATTAACTTAACTAATTTTCATGAACTTAATTTAAATGCAACCACCTACCTTGCAAGTAGCGAACAAACATCACAACGATGCACGACATTGCTTAACCACATGTCGTCTCCTTAATCCACACCTAAGGATAGTTACAATTGAACTAAGCACATATTACAAATATTTTCAATAATTAAAATAATTCATTTCTATTTTTAGAATTATTATAAATCCAAATTTTAAAAATCCCTAAATCATGAATTTTCATCATAACATCAAGCTAAACATTTCCCTAAATCATAGTAGGATTTGAATTTATGTTTTGAATGAACGACTTCAAACTTTTGAGGCCATTTTGAAAAGTAAATAGCTCCATTCAATTAAAATTTCATGTCAATACAATTATCCTCTGGGTGTTTGATCATTTTTAGCAAATCCACTAAGCATTCTCAAATCTCTTGTTTAAGAGTTTGACATAGAGATCCAAACACACGCAAAACTTTGCATAACGTATTTTGCACTTCTATTACATTTATATAGGTGCAACATGTCTAGTTGTTCACCTTCAATGACTTCTAGACGGTACTATATAAGTCTACCTTTTGTCTTTATTGTCTATTAAGCAAAAGGAAGGAACGAGCCTAATGGAATGCAACGCTCATTTCATAAAGCTTCCTAGTTGTTATTTTTTTAATGGATAATGAAAATCATAGAATCTTCTTCACTGTATTAGCTCCAGCTTTTATTATTGTATTTTACAGCATGCCAAGTACAAGTTTCAACAATATTCGGGTTAAACAAGTTATGTTGATCTAAAAATATTACATGATCCATACAATAAACGGACAAAATGGATCGAATTCGAGTTAGACAGATTCGAGCCGAGTAAAATTCGGATCCCATAATATGACCAATATAATAAAATCGAGTCAAGTATATTCATGTATGCATATATGCCTCAACCTTAATATCTTGATATTACCAAACTGGCAAAAGAGAATAAACAACATGATCTATTATACAATCAAACAGTTCAACAAAAAGAGATAAAAACCAGATCTCTAATGTCAACAATCATACAAACATGTACCAGCTAAGAATACAGAAGCTCCTACCCTTATAGAGAGGAAGGAAGGGGCCTTGGGTACGCCATCTTCCCACTGCCACTCTCTTCCAAGCTTCTCATACTGGACTTTTGAGATCCACTTTCAAAGCTCTGAGCGTTTATCTTTGGCTCTTGTTGAGATCTCTTCTCTGTGTCATTCGTCTTCTGAAGCTGCTCGAGAACAGCCACTACATTTTCCATGCTAGGCCTCAACCTCCCTTCTGAGGACAGGCACCGGAAGGCGAGTGAGGCAACTTTCTGAGCTCCTTCAAATGAATGCTGGCCTTCGAGCCTTCTGTCCAAGATGCGAAAAACTTTGCGCTTGTTGGTGAGGTAAGGCCTTGCCCACTCGACCAGATTGTGCTCCCCAAGTGGGCGGTTCTTGTCCACGGCTCGCCGGCCGGATAACATCTCAAGAAGGACCACACCGAAGCTATACACGTCACTTTTTTCGGTTAAGTGACCTGCCAGAATGAAACATCTGGTTAAATGAGAATGTTTGACTGCATGATGTACTATTTGGGGCTGGTTGGTAGCACCCAGGATTTGATTTAAGTAGGATTTCATAAATCCTCTAAATCCGGATTTCGGAAATCTTGAGGGGCCTAAATCCTGAAATTGTTTGGTAACATTCATGATAAATCCTATTAAATCTCGTATGACTGTTTAGCTATATAGTAAATTTAACGAGCATACACTTCCTATCAAGCCAATGAATTTCGTAAATCCGACAAAAAAAAGATTTTGGAAATCCATAATTTAGCACGAGAAGGCGGAATTTCCATCTACGGTGGCTTTAATTTTCCGTGAGATTTGGTTTTGCATTTTTAGGCCGTTTGGCTGGATTTCGCTCAAATCCGGCCTAAATCCTGCTACCAAACAGCCCCTTTGTGTGTGGAGAATAATTTCCAGTTCTGAAACAAAATAGCTTGTTTCAGCTAATTGGAAAAATTTTCAGAGCTAAAACTTGGCCATTTGGTATTTTGATGACTGAAATCCTAAGAACCAGCAAATTATGCATAGGCCATTGTCGAAACTCTGCAAAAGATATGAATGGCAGATAGCCTTGAACAGATAGCGCTTGCTGAGTTATGAATGTATTCTTGCATTCTAAGTGTTAAGATTAATTGGGTATCTGATGGGCGTGTTTGTGCAAGTTTTAATTAATGAAGATTAACTTGTTTCAGATGGGTTTAGAAGGTCTTCAATGATAAAGATGCAGAACGGGGGACAACACAATTTTAGGTATGAACAATTTCGACTTATTTAAAAAAGAGTTCATTTACTTACCTAGGTTCCCAGAAGAATGCAGTCAGAATTTTGAAATTTTGTTCAATAAACAGCACATAGTAACATATTGTACTAAAAGATTGGATGGAAAGTACAGATAAATAAGAATTATAAGGTCGCTGCAAATCAATAACACTAATGTGCAACATGAATGAGAAGACCGAGCGAGAAAAAAACAAAAAAATAGTAACACTGGTCATCAACTTACCTGTTGCAAGATACTCAGGAGCTGCGTATCCATATGTTCCCATGACCCTAGTAGAGACATGACTCTTTTCTCCAGAAGGTCCATCTTTTGCCAATCCGAAGTCAGAAAGTTTTGCACAGTAGTTCTGTAAATAAATATAGAAGAACAGTAGGGAATGTGAATAAAACATAAGTTTGTGCAAGAACAAATAATAGGAAAATTCATGTCAAGCTGGTTAGAATTTTACATACCGCATCCAGAAGGACATTAGAAGTTTTAAAATCGCGATAAATGACTTTTGTATCAGCGCCGTGCAGAAAAGCCAGTCCTCTAGCAGCCCCAAGTGCAACCTTCATGCGCAGGCTCCAGGAAAGTGGTTGAAAATGTGAGCCTCCTGCAGAAAAATTGTTGTATATATTGACTTGGTCTTATGAGTCATTTCAGAGCACTCTCAGAATCTTACAATTTCCTAATTTGACAAAGGAAATAATGCTATCATAAGGCATAAAACCTTCCCTCACATATATCTTCATCATAATCTCATCATTATTGCCCTTCTCCCAACTATTTAGGATCAACCTTATAAATCCTAGTTTTTCATTCTGTTCCTGCTGAGTGTTGTGTGAGGATATAACATATAGTTCACAAATCATTTTAAATAATTTTTATCCATATAACTTTAGTCAATTAATGCAGAAAATAAAAATTCAACCCTCTAAAAATCATCATCATCAGTGAAATATTTTTAATTACAAAAAATAAATAAAAAAATGAAGTTATGCTCAAATCATGTTAGTACAAATTTGACGTCGACAAATTTACATCTAATATTCATCAGCCAAATCAAAGCATAAACTGTGTGCATCCACAAAGTAATCCATAAATCTTCACAAGTAGGTATTTCGCATACAACAACAACAACAACATCAAAAGCCTTTATCCCACTATGAATTCACAAGAAAGAGTTGGCAAGATGAATTCAACGAATTAATAATAGGCATATGAAATAAGGTAAAATCATACAAATTTAAAATTTGATTAAAATAAGAATTTCCTATCATTTTTATTTTGTAGGCATTAGTTTCTATGTGAAAGAAAATTTAAATAACCAGGCCTTCTTTGCATTTAATTTCATAAAAGTCCCTAATGGAACCCTTTTGGATTTAAACACATTATCACTTTATCATGAGATTTAAATTATATATCATCCTGTTCACATCAGTATACAACTTGTCATTACCATATTTAGTAGCAAAATTTTTTGTAAATATCATCATGCAAATCAAGCATATATTCTGCAAATACACTACAGTTAAACTCTAGAAGGTAAATAAGATTTCTGGACTTTCTAAGTTGATAAATTATGATAATTGCAAATGAATTCATGTTAATAGTCCTATTAGCAGATGAATTGCATATAAACCCAGCCATAAATAATATCAAATTCCCAACCCAAATGCATGTGTTTTTATGAAACAACATAACAAACCTCCCAACTCCTAGTTGCTCTTTTAGGGGCTGTTTGGCAACAAGTGGGATTTAACTTTAGTGGGATTTAATAAATCTTGTAAATCCGGATTTAGTAAATCCGAAATAGGTTAAATCCTGAAAACTGTTTGGTATGCAAAATGTTAAATCATGTTAAATCCGGAGAAACTGTTTGGTAACATATTTCAGGATTTATAGCAGTTAGGCATTTAAATGCGAAGAAGATAATTATAACTTAAAAATAAATTTATAATTAAAAATAAAAAATATAATGTGTTATAAACTTAAAAATATGTTAAGTACAAATTACCCATTAATTATTATTTATACAATTAATCATATTATTTAATAATAGATATATTAAGTTATATTAATTAATCTAATTATATTAATATTTAATTACTAATTATATAATTAAGTTAAATTAGATAATTAATTTATGCACTAATTATACAATTAACTATTTAATTAATTTACTTAAGTATTAATAATTTAAATTATATTAATTAAGTTAATCAATAATAACTTAGAGGCGTCTAGGGTTTGCCTTTCATCTTCTCTTTTCGTCGTTGTTGTTGGGCTCCGTTGCTTTCGCAGGAGGTGTAGAGATTGCAGGCGTCGCTTCTTCGGCTCCTTCGTGGCTGTTCGACTTCGCTCCTACCGACTTCAACCCGGATCGGAAGTTATGGCATTTTGATCGGAAGAAAGAACGGGAGCTCGCTGGCTGTGAAGGTAACTTTCTCCCTTTCGCGCGCTTCTTCGGATAAATCCCGCTCGGATTTACTAAATCCGGCTACCCCTCGGATTTACTAAATCCCGGATTTAAGCTGTAAATCCGTAAATCCAGGATTTATTGAATCCCGGGATTTAACGCACTAACAAAAACTGTTTGGCTGGATTTAGCGTAAATCCGACTTAAATCCCGCTGTAAATCCGATACCAAACAGCCCCTTAGTTTGTCCATTAGTTTGTGGAAAAAAAAAACATATAAAAATTTAGGTTTATTCTCATTTTCAGCCAAAGAGTTTCAAAAAATAACTAAAGAAGTTAACATCTTGATTAAAAATAATTGTTTCATGTAAGTCATGTAGTTTAACTTCATTAAAACATATTTTAGCATTATGGCTACATATGAGATGTTGTCACATTGTAGCATTATGAATGGTCCAGCGTGCTGTCACATTGTAGTAGATAAGTTACCATTCTGACTTGTCATATTGATCAATCAAAAGGATTCAAGGGTACAAGTAGTCCAAACAAATGGCTTTATAGTCTCAGACCTGAGTGGATTTCCTAGAGAGGAGGAATGAATTAGACTAGTTGGGTATGTAAATCAACCCAGTCGGAAATGTGCCACTTTAGGTGGATTTGTAACCAATTAGTTTGGGGTTGGCCTAGATTATTATTTTGAACGAGTCATTCCTCATGAAATGTCCAATCGATCCTGACAAGACAATCAAATGGATGCCTATTGACATGATCGAACCACCCTTAAGCTTGTCGAAAGTTATTTGAATGGTTCATGTAGGAGTTCTGTGTCATTAGATCAAACTTTATGGATCTTATTGCAGTCTGTTTGTCGCAATTATATGATAAGGTGGAAGTATCTTAGAAAAGGCAAGCATGACATCTATGAAGTTGTATCAAGTCTGATTAGTCACATCTGATTCCAGTTGGAGTAACCTTATAGATCACACCAGCTTGCCTCACAACTTTAAGCATTACACTATGCATTCCACATATATGGAGGTATAAATCACACCCTCCTGCCTACTATCTATTGCAAATGAATGTTTACATAAAATATGCAAATGCTTTGAACCCACATGATTCTTTTGCATAGTCAGAATCACTCTTAGGTTTTATTGGTTTTAAAAATAATATTCTCCCATGATGATTCTCGAAAGCATAAACATTAAACATTCCAAAATGAATAACATCTAAATCATAAAATTAAAGTCAACCAAAAATAACACAAGCATTGTCCATGAGAAATGCATCAAACCGTATTCTACTAATATAGGTAACCAACTAAATTGGAACTAAACATTTCTGAAAAAAAAAAAAATAGCTAACTTATCTACTCATACTACATTACCACCTTATATATTTATGGTTCTAGATTAGGTTTCATATTTATACGATCTAAAACAAACCTAGATACAACAATCATGCAAATTCAATTATCAATTATGAGTTTAAATAGCTTCTCCCTATGTTTAAAATAGGCTTGAAAAATTGTTGGCTTCTTCCAATCAGATTTAACCTTACGAATAACTTATGATGCAACACATGACATTCACTGAATTATCAACTAAAGCATCCTCATAATCACTAATATCTTTATCAAATTAAAGAACATCAATATTGTTGAACTTATTTATTTTTTCCTCGGCATTTATGTGCATGTTATTATTGGGACACGCACTAGCATAATGACAAGTTTGATGATACTAGAAACATCTTTTAGTATAAACCCTAGACCCAAATAAAAACGCATCTGATTTCCCCTTGGTGACCTTATTAATTGTAGTGTTACTTAACTTAGATGCAAAGTGCAGTAGATTGAACATTCTTATTTTGATGAAATGATAAACTTCAAAAATAAGTAGTAATTAGGGTTGCAAATGAATCTTACGACAAGCTACTTAGCTACTTGTGGTTCAGCTCGAGTGTAGCTCATTCTTGATTGTTTGCTTAACTAATCAAATAAGTTTAAATAATTTTTAAAATACTCGATTATTAAATAACAAATTTGAATTTTTTTTAACTCATTTATTTTCATGAACAATATAATTTAAAGAACGTGAACATGCTCAATAAAAAGCACTTTGATGTGGAGAGAATGAGCTCCATAGCATATCAGGAACCTTTTCAACTACCCTGTGGGTTATCGTGGAGGGTTAGGGTTGTGTTGAATTTATTTCTACAATAGTTTTTTGTTGGGGTTTTGGGTTTCTAGTGGCCGCTAGGAATTGTGCGAGAGACAATTCACCTCTCGAACTGTGAATCAACTTGCATCTTGTCTTTCTTTGCTTGGAGATTAGTACAGCCCCCTTAGTGTTATATTTGGATCCATTTGAAGTAAGTTTGTTGTTTTTTGTATTGTTGTGTGTTGTTTTGATCGTCAGACCATTGATATCAAAGCACGATTCGGGACCTATGATGTCGAAGAAAGTGGATGCTTTAGAAGAAAAACTAGAAGGAAAAGTTGGTCAATTCAAATATGAAATTGAGAAACGGATTTCATCCATGGAAGGATGGTTTTCTAAACAAGAAGGACATTATGACGAAACTATTGGAGCTTCACACCCAACCAATAACATCGGAGGCGAGGGCACCAGCGGGCGGCTAAGAAAATGAGGGAAAACACAATATCGGCAAAATGAGGGATGATCGAGAGGTAGAAATCTTGGGCGATATGGAAAATATGTGATGCAATAAAAAAGATAGCAAATATACATAAAAATTAGGCCTTCCTTCCAAAATACCAAAAATGACAAAATACAACAATTAAACAAAACATAACTTAACTTTCATATGATAAAGACAACGCATATAAACTTATAACATAAAAACACCTAAAATTGTTTTTACATCGCTTGAGAAGAAAGGTACAAATGAGGTGGACACTTGTGGGGAGAAGAATTAGATAAGAAGTCCGAGACGAAATTGTAGAAGAGAGGGAAGAGAAATTGAACAAGCTCGCAAGCTTTCCCAAGAAGAAACCTGCATATTTTTTGCTCGAAAAATTCTTCGCATCGTCTCCTTTTAAGCTTCAAAACATTCCCAATTTATAGGTGAAAAGAGAGCCAAACAGCCCATAATATCTCCAGCCGACCCAATCAGGAAAGGGGAAACAAAAGGCCAGCAGGCAGCCCCAGGAACAGCAGCCGAACCAACCCAAAAAGGGGAGCCAAAAGACCAACAGGCGCTGCCTGAAACAGCAGCCAAAGGGACCACACGGGGGAGAGGAAAAGGCAACCACGGGAATAGCAAAAGTCAGCCATGGGACAAGGAAAAGCCAGCCACGGAACAGGAGCTAGCGGAGGAACCGAAAGGCCAGCAAAGAGGGGAGGGAAAGGGGGCATGAACCTGGCTGAAATTAGTAAATGAAAGGGAGTTGATGGCGATAGTGTTGGCAATACATAAATGGAGACCATATATGTTGGGGCAACACTTCATAGTTAGGACTGACTAGTGGAGTTTGAAGTTTATGTTAAAATAGAAGATGTGATAGAGGAGCATCAACAGTTGCTTTCCAAGTTATTGGGTTATGACTTCAAGATCCAATATAAGTTCGGGCTAAAAAATAAAGCTACAGATGCTCTCTCCAAGCGTTGTGAAAACCCTTAGGTTATGGCTCTATCTGTTCCCATGGTGTTGGATCGGGAGGCCTTGAAGCGTGAGAGCGAGCAGGATGAGGAGCTGAGTAAGATCAGAGGAGACTTATTGCAAGAAAAGAACAGCCATCCTGATTACTCTTTGATAGGTCAGAAATTGCTATATTGTTGACAATCTATGCAGTCAAGAACATCACCATGCTCCACTTGTTATAGGTTTCTAGCACACTAATGGGGCGGGGGGGGGGATTCAGGAGTTCAGAAGACATATCATAAGTCTGGCAGCGGAGCTTATAATTTGGGTGGGCATACGAAAGGATATAGAGGAGTTGGCGGCCAATTGTGATGTGTGTCAAAGACAAAAATACCTGGTTCTGGTTCCAAGTGGTCTTCTAAAGCCTTTATCATTACCCGAGAAAGTGTGGAAAGATGTGACTATGGACTTCATTGAGATACTACCTAGATCAGAAGGATTTAGTGTGATTTTAGTGGTGGTGGATAGATTGAGCAAATATGCTCATTTCATTCGCTTATGCCGCCCATAGACTGCAGTGTTGGTGGCAGATGCATTCATTAAAGTGGTGATCCGTTTGCATGGCATATATGATGCCATTTTGTCCGATCGGGACAAGATCTTTCTAAGTCATATCTAGAAAGAGTTATTTAAGATGCAGGGGACTATCCTGAAGCGAAGTATAGCTTACCACTCCCAGAAGGATGGCCAAATGGAGGTGGTGAATTGCAGTGTAGAGACTTATCTTTGTTGCTTTGTATCAGATACACCAAATATGTAGGCCAAGTAGTTAGCCTTGGCAGAATATTGGTATAACATTTCATATCATACAATAGCCTAGACAATGCCATTTAAAATCCTATATGCGAGGGATCCACCTCATTTGATACATTATGGGCATAGCAACACACCAGTGTCAGTAGTAGAGCAGTACTTGGGAGAAAAAGATCAAATTTTGGTAGAATTGAAGGATCGTCTATGGAGAGCACAACAAATCATGAAGAAACAAACGGATGGACATAAGAGAGAAATGCAGTTTGAGGTTAGGGACAAGGTTTATCTAGAAATCCAACCTTACAGACAAAAGACTTTGGCTCGACGAAGAAATGAGAAGCTCTACCTTGCTATTTTGTGTCCTACGAGATAGTGGAGCGCATTAGCACATTAGCATATCGCCTAAGAATGCCACCAACCTCAGCCATCTATCTCGTATTTCATATATTGTAATTGAGACGAGCCATTCGAGCCAACACACCCTTGCCTGCCCTACCAGTCACACTATCAGAGGATATGGAGGTAATATTAGAATCATTGGAGGTGAAGGGGGTACGCCAAGGAGACAATGGGATCATGGAGGTGCTGATCAAGTGGAAGGATTTACTAGAGTATGAGACGACATGGGAGCCCTACAGTACCATCCATAAGCAATTTTCTTCTTTCCACCTTAAGGATAAGGTGACTTTTTTGGGAGGGGAGTATTGATGTGGGGCTCAAGAACTTTATAGCAGATCAGGAACCTTTCTGCTCCCCTATGGGGACTAGGGGTGTAAACGAGTCAAGTTTAGGCCTTATTGAGTTCGGCTCATCAGTTGGAAAGCGAGCTCGAACTCGAGATCGATAGACGAGCTCGAACTCGAGCTCATCCCTCGGTAAACGAGCTCAAGCCGACTTGCGAGCTAACTGGAGAGCCATAGGCATGAATTTTAAAATTTAGACGGGATTTTAAAACTTAGGCTGGATTTTTAAAACTTAAGTGGAATTTTTAAAAATTAATCAAAATTTAGAAAAAAATATGAAATATTTAACATTTAAATAAAACTTAGATGATTTTTTATTTTTTTTATATTTAAATTTAATAAATAAAATAAAATTATTTAAAAAATATTAATATTTATTCGAGCCAGCTTACGAGTCGAGCCAGTTCAAGCTCGAACTCGAGCTTGTTTACTAAACGAGCTCGAACGCGACCTTTAGCTTGACTCGTGAGCTCGATAAGCTCGGCTCGCGAGCCTATAAACGAGTCGAGATCGAGACAACTCGGCTCACTTACACCCCTAGTGGGGCCGAGGACCTCCTTTATCACCTATAAGAGAAGAAGTTTTGGAGGGAGCTTTTTGGAAATGATATAATCAGGGATGTAAGGGGTATTTATTATGGTATTTGGGCTATTTAAGAGAGGAAAATTATGGAGGGTTAGGATTAAATTGAATTTGTTCCTATAGCAATTTTTGTTAGGGTTTTGGGTTCCTAGTGGCTGTTAGGAATGGGAGAGATGATTCACCTCTTAATCAATGAATCAACTTGTATTGTCTTTCTTTGCTTAGAGATTAGTAATTATAACCCCTTGCTGTTATAAGTGGATCCATTTGGAGTAAGCTTGTTGTTTTTTACATTGTTGTGTGTTGTTTTGATCATCAAATTCTATCACATGTTAAGAAGCTCAATTAATATTTATTACAGAGCTCATGAACAAGCTCATTAAAATACTCAATTAATGTTCAATACAAAGCTCTTGAACACATTAAGAAACTTGATTAAGTTTTATTATAAAAATAATGAACTTAATTTAACTGTTTTATAGTTATTATACAATAATATCATAATTAATCATTAATAAATAACTTTTAAAAATATTAAACATTATAACATCAATTAATTAAACCAAATTATAAATATCTATTAAATTAATTTTATTTATAAAGAGCCTATTCAACGGCAGCTTAAAAAATATTCGATAGGCTGGCTCATTTATGGGCTCAATAAGGATGATAAATATGTTCATTAACGGGCTAGAGATAATTGTTCATGAATAGAAATGCTCATTTATTATTTTATATGAGCCACTTGTTTAAAGTTCAATATGTACAATTTAAATCGAATATGAGACGAACACAAATCAAGCTTGAAAACCTTCTATTTTAAATTAACCAAGCTTGAACACAAACAAAAAAGCTCGAATCGAGCTCAAACAAGGTGCTAATAAACAAGCTCAAATATAAACAAGCACGTGCTCGTTTCAACTCTATTTGTTTAGTAATAATCTTCTTAAACATGTGAAACTCTAATATTTTCTCAATTTAATGCAAGTTGAAAAGCATGGTCAAATGATAGAAAGAAACAAGGTATCATCTCTTTTAATATCAACTCTCAAACAAGCATAAACAAAAGGAGTGTCATTTTAGAATATTCAATTATCTCAAAAGACCAAAAAAAAAAAAGTTCCAAATTTACTCATACATTTAGCAGCAATTTTAGTTCCTATCTTAAATGAATTAACTTCATCAAATAAATGATCTTGATCTAAAAGAGGTAAATATTTTTCTTTGAAAAACCCTTTCATTTCAACCAAGGTTGAAGTAGGTTCCCTTCCTAATATATTTATCTTTGGCATTCCACTCTTATCCAATAGAACTTCTACAACAATCCACTTAATGCAACTTAGCCATATTATCTTAAATTAAATTTACTTTCAAACATCAGCAACCTATATTTGTAATTTCCCAACGACTAAATTCCACCACCTTCATATCATCAGAATATTTCAATTTACAACTTGGACAAAAGAACTAATGCTACAATATGGCATAAAGCCTCTCCTCCTCATCAAATATAATCGAGTAAAAGTAAAATTACATTGGTGAAGTTACATTAGGATATGAAATATCAAAAAGCAAGTACGTAAAACATAAGAAGCTTACTCCTAAATAGATGGTTTTCAAGGCTCCCTCGAGGCATGAATTCATAGACCAGCAAGCGATGCTCATCCTCTAAACAGTATCCAATCAGCTTTACTAGATTTGGGTGATGTAGCTGGCCCAGATAATTGACTTCTGCCTATAAGTTTTGAGAAAAAAATTGATTCGCATTGAAGAAATGCAAGTTCTGATATGTTTTGGCTTGAAATTATTAGTTATTTGCACATTATAGTTTGTAAGAAACACCAAAAACTACAGCATACTCACCAACCATTCCCTATGACCCTGGAAACTATTCTGGTTGAGCCTTTTCACAGCAATAATCATTCCAAACCCTGGTTTCACCGCTGTGAGTGTGTGCTCATCAATCCAACCCTTAAAAACAGAACCAAAACCTCCCTCCCCCAACACACTGTCCGAGCGGAAATTTCTGGTGGCAGATTTGAGCTCATTGAAGGCAAAACTCTTCACATTTGTTGACTGCAAAATCTCTCCCTCACTACGTGGTGTAGGAGGCACAGAGGATGAGGAAGTGCGACCGCTGCTGCTGTATAATCCACTTCCAAACTTGCTGCTATCCTTTGAATTGGTTCCTAAAAGAATAAAATACAATTTGCATGATGCATGAATGAATCAGAAAATTGAGATGTTTGTATTGAACATACAACAATCAAATGAATGAATATATTTCACGTAAGTCATTGAAAAAATATACATTATCAAATTATTAAAAAAAAACAAATTTCTATCTAGAAACAATTCAAAAGTCCAACATTCAAGGAAATTGAATTGCAACACATTCAAAGCTATAGATCAAAGGAGTAGTCGAGTAGAGCTGAGATTTTAACTCAAAGATCAAAGATCGCATGAAGATTCGATTTTTGTCTCATATTGCGTCAAACTTTGAATGTGTAACTCAGGAAATTGAAAATTAATCAATAACAGATCTTTTTTTTTTTTTTTTTGGCTTGAATCAAAGTTAAGGAGCCATGTCTAAACTGAATTGAGATCGAATCGAGTTAAATTATAACCAAACTTGGCTTGACACGATATCCAACTGCATGACTTTGAGTAGACCTTTAGTCGGGGCCAGATAAATTGAATCAATAACAACCATACAAAGAAGAGATGGTAATAATCCACTGTATTGATTCAAAAAACGTCTCAGTGAAAATAATAATAGCATTCAGCTAACAGAGATAACAGAGATAAAATACAAGAACAGCCAAACCACGGAAAATTGGTAAACCCAAATGCAGTAACAAGAACTATCAATCTGAATCCAAGTTATATAAATATTATTCAATTTATACCTCGTTAAAAAAACCCATACTTAAAAACAATTCGGAACACACAAGACTCAGTGCATTCTAGAATAGAAGAAAGATAAAAACTGGCATTTCTCCCTCAAAACTAGTGATCTAGGCGTAAAGCCTTCTATCGCTTGCTCTGAGAGGATTGAGAATTGCCGGTTTTCAAAATTTTCAAATAATCTACATAAAATCTAAAATTCAATACCTACTACAATTTAGTCGTCAAATGTACTCGAAAAAATAAAAATCTAAGAAGAATAAACGGACCACCTGAGCTTGTGGCTAAGGTAGAGGCGCTGTATGAAGGGCTGACAGTCTTGGTCCTCCCGCTCCAGCAGCTTCCCATCTCAACGCCAACAAAACTCCAACCTTTGGTCCTCCTTCCGAACCTCCGTCCCCTAATTCGGAAGAAGAACAAAGAGCTGGGATTTTAATGACGGGCACACAGTTGACCAGACGCAACCGTGAGAAATCAGCAGTATAAATTTCAGGAGAAATCTGCAGCATAATCCAGCTGAACTCCTCTCCCTCCCCTCGAACCTCGGCGCCTCACTTCAAATAAGAGGAATTCACCCCTCGCTGGCCAATACAATACCGAGAAACGACTCCCACAACCATATTAACCGCAATTGCGCCTAGTATTCGCAGAGGGAAAAAATAATAATTGATAGAAGAAGAAGAACAACAAAACTTTCTAGGGTTTGGCTCATCCTCACCTGTCCTCTTCGCTCTTTCGTCAACGTTGACGCTTCTCTCCACTTTTAGCTATCGCGCTGTGGCTCCAGAGCAAGAGCAAGACAACAGGAAGGGGAAGAAATAGCATTAATGGCGGGTATCTACCACGGACTTCGTCCATGTGGCCTGCTGTAAGACCTCAGAACAAGTACTCCTTTTTTTTAAAAAGGGGATTTACGTAAACATCCTCAAATAAATCATTATTACATTTTCACCATTAAAATCACTTTATTTTCATAGCTCCAATTTTTTTTTTTTTTTTTCGAATTAGTTTTAAGCGCTTATGAATATTTTGTGAGATAAATTTGATGATGTGAGTCAATTTATTAAAAAAAAAAATATATTAATATAAAAGATATTTAAAATATATTAATGTTTGATAATCCTCGCAATATACTATTCATGTTCTGTATTTTCTAAAGTCTCATTTCTTATTAACATTGGGAAACATATTCTCACATATTTATTTATTGCTCATTTTAGAGTTTCTTTCTTTATTAATTTATGAATGGTCTATAAGCTCATTTCCAAGGTTAATAATGTTTTAGGTTTGATATATTATCATACAATTTTTTTTTAGAAGTTTTGGAATTAAATTCATGATCATTTGAATTTTAATTTAGGCAACATTATATATATGCAGTCAAATTGAATGTCTCAATGAGATGAATCTAACAACACCAAAAGTGCTACAATATTACTTCAAATGAGCCTGAGTCAAACCCTTAAAATATAGTTGAAAACTTGTTGATCTTGTTTGAAGGACCGAATAATCTTCAATTTTTGCTTGCTAATAATGAAAAAGGAAACCACTAAAAGGGAATCCAATGCCTCAAACATTATTCAATTCTAAGATCATTAAAGTTAGGGGTGTCAATATTTGGCACAACTCGAAATCTTATCAAGACCCAACCCAAAAAATTCCAGTTTTGGGTCAACCCATTTATCAAACGGGTCGGATACGAGTTAAAAAATGTGACCCATTTCTAAAATCAGATTGGGTTCGGGTTGACCCGGAAATCCAAAATCAACTCAAAGTTGATACGGGTCCGCTAGCTTTCCTTGCCACTGGTCTCGCCAGGCCTAGCCCACTAGCACGCAGCACGACTCAACCATAGTCCTAGCCTGCCTCGACTTGGCCCTTCACCTTTCACATCGTCACACGCCTAGCCGCCCACGCGGCATGTGGTAGTCGGCACCTCCGCACGAGGCACCGCCTCGCCTAACCTGTAGCACACGTCAGGCCAGTGGCCACGCGACACGATAATAGTGGTGAATGTGACACGACTCATGAGGGACATGTGAAATTTGAAAAAGCGTGGGTTGGCGGGTCAAGACGGTAACCCTCGCAGGTCTGTCCAGTTTGGCAATCTTGACTCATTTACAAAATTGAGTCAGGTTAGGGTCAACTCATTTAAACACAGGTCAATTCAGGTTTGACCTAAACCCAACCCGCGGACCCATTGACACCCCTAATTAAAGAACACAAACATTAAAAAAATGATATATTATCAAATCAATTAACATTAGTAGTCCAATGGGGTGTTTTTTAATTTTGATTAAAATTGTAAAAATATTGCTAAAAAAAGTATAAATAAACCATCATTCTCCATATAAAGAGGCACGTAGATGTAAATTCGGAGAGAGCATAGAGATCTGATGAACTCTAGAGCTTTGTCTCATGTTCAATGTTGACGAATACCAAAAATAAATATTATTGTCAAACTATAATTGTATGATCGTCAGTGCCCATCTATCATCATTCGACCATAACTAAAGTCCACTGTCACCCATCCATAGATTTTAATTGTCGATGCTCGACCATCCTCACTCATCCACCTTCATCCAATGACAATCGTCCCAACAGATGTTGCTCATCGATCACCATCGCCGAACCATTGTAATTCATGTCAGACATAGTATTTGGTTGACATTATCACCTTTCAATACTTCTCTTAAAGTATCAACTATAGCCACCAGGAGATCAATCTATCATCATATTATATAATCTCATTTCATTTAAGGGAAATAGCGAACCTTTATAATATGTAATTACATAGTGAATCATATCATTTGGACTAGGCCCCATTATTGGTGAAATGCTATTTATATATTTTAAAAATTCATTGATAACTAACATGTGATATATGATGTTTAAGTATGAATATAATTGAAAAAATAGGCCTTTAATTATATATAAGAGACAAAGTTATATTTTGGTGTGATGTAAATTCTTCTAAAAATCCTAATGATAAAATGAATGAGTAAGATGATTAATAACCCAATTTCTTTGGGTTTTTTTGGTGATGGCATCTAATTGGATATGTTTTATGAGTGAGCTAACAATTAATCTCCCCTTATATCATGCCCTATAATCTAAATTGGGAAAAAAAATTGAATCTTTTATCTTTTTATAATGACAACCAAAGTTATCTAATTTATTAATACTAAAATATCAATGGAAATGAATCTATTAATCATAATATCAATATGAATGTATGTTTATTACTCCAAAAAGTATATACAAAAGTTAGGAGATGTACAAATATAATATACTCTCTGTCCACTCAATACTATAATATCCTATAGCTTCCATTCGATAGTGGGATATGATCCTGCGGTTAGACTCGAATAAGAGGGATTAGATAGATGAGTTTAGATCCCGCTGTTAGGCTAAATGGCTGGGATTACATCTGATCAAAAGTAATACGCTGCTCCATCTGGTAAGACAAAATGAGCATATTATCCGACAAGATCAGAGTCGTTGGATTTGAATAGGATGAATCATACATCTATGAACTCATCTTTTTCTTTCGATCAACCGAAAACCTTAGACCCATATTTAGTCTTCTACATTCAATACAATGAATCAAGTGGCCTAAAAACTAGGACATGGGTATAATAGGATCAAAGGAAGAGTGGGGGATAGTTTATTTCAATTTGCATGTAATGTTTGAATCTTTATTTAGAAACCTATATAGTAAACTAGGGTTTAGATTTTACCTTAACATGGGTGGTTTCAAGGGATGTATGGGGACTCATTTCTTTGGTTGAGACTTCCTCTATAGCTTTTTAGAAGACTTTAACAACCGAGGATCACTAAAAGATAATTTGGGACAACTTGAACGGACAAGTTTGTAGCCATCCTTTGATCTCACCATCGACAAACTCTAAACACCAGGAAATTGATTGGAGGATGAAGGAGAGTATCTGTGAATGCAAGATGAAATTCCAAAAGGTTTGGTGAGTAGCTAGGGTGAGAGTAATGTGTGTATGAAGATTTTGTATACCTTGGATCAATTCAAACCCTGGAGCTCACCTAGATGGCTGGGATGCTTTAGGCTGATTGCTTGGATGTTGGACACATGTCCTTGACTATTAGGCAGTAGGGAGATGAACTGAAGCAGGGGAAAATGACTTGAGGTCATTTTTACCTAAGGAAGTTTGACCATCCAATGGCCTCTTGGCCATTTGTTGACTAGTTTGATGAGTTAGCTGATCAAGCCGACTTAGGTGGAGACTAGGAGGATCATGAGTGTTAATGTAATGGAATGAGAAAAGCTTGAGGCAATAGTGTGAGTGCTTGAGTAAGGTTTTAACCAAATGGTCTCTTTGATGTTTAATGTTGACTGATCGACTAGTAAATTGTCATTGCCAACTAGAGTAGACCTTAGGGAGTATTTCAATGTTGGTAAGTGTGGAATATGAAAGATGTGATGGATGTGTGTGGAAGTTTGAGTAGAATGTCAAGTGTTATCTATCCATGGTGAGTTGACCGAGTCAAAGTAATCATGATTTTTAACTCACAGAGGTGTTGGTTGTATTTAAGTGATATAATGAAGTGATTTTGAAAGATTTGGAGGTTTTGATTGGATTGCATGCAATGAGCTAACACAAATAGATATGGTTTGATCAAACCCAAATTGCTGCCCAAGTCAATGTTACTGAGTGATGTAGAAGGGTTGGATAGCTTGAACTGATTGCATGCACTAATTTGACCATATGTTGACTAGGTTTGACCAAACATTGGTCCAGTTGACTAGGTCAACTAATGTCTCAATCAGGATAACCAGTCAAGTCCTTTTCACTAAGAGTGATGTTCAAAAATTTTTGATGGAGATCAAAGTTCAATTGGAATTCAACTGAAGGTAATTGATGTATATGATTAGTTGAGCTAGCTCAACTAGCTCAAGCTGATCAATAACTAACTCAAAGAGCTAGTGATGGATGATTTGCAATGTGAACTCCAAGTGAAATAACTTGGGCAGGACCGAGGTCAATTATGTTAGTGTACTGAGCTAGTTGGTGCACTAAGTCAGTTGATTACAATACAAGGCTGTAATTGTCTGGGTGATTAAAGCTTGATTTGATTAGAGTGCTAAATAATTGTAGATCATATGATCAGATAGACCAGATGACTATAGTACATATGGCTATGAGCTGATTGATTGTTGGTTAAATGTATAAATGATTAAAGTGTAGATTATAAGTTAGATGTATTCTTGATTGATTGATGATGTTTATAGAGGTGATTGATTAAGTGGAAACTAGATAATTGTACGATACTTGAAGTGCTGAGTGATTTATTGATTGGATATTCTCAACCTAGATATTGGTAGATTTAGTGATTATAGTTGCTGTCAACCATCAAATGAAAGAGTAGTTTAGGTTGTTGACCTCACACAAAAAATGAGATCAGTAAGTAGGAAATGGCAAGCACAGTACTTGGGCATGCAAGAAAAATATTACCACTATACAACCAAAATTATTGAGGCTTTAGTGGAGATGTTAGGAGGAGAGTCCCTTTGTGGGGAATCTAGACCAGTTGCATTTCCCCACTACTCCAAAATACTAGTCATATGTTTGTACCCAGCCTGATGATGATAAGGAGGAGGAGGAGGATCGTGACTTTGAGTGATGGGAGTCATTTATCTTTCTTTTGTTGGTTATTCCTAGCAGGCTTGACAAAGAGAGAGAGAAAGAGAGTTATTTGTAGCTTTTTTTTTTTTTTGGGGGGGGGGGGGGGGGATATGCCGGGGGGGGGGGGGTCCCGTGATATTGTGATGTGATGTTGTTAGAGTGATGTTGTGTTGTGCCCATGAGTGTCATTGTTACTTTTCCAATAAGATCAGATCTTGTC